TTTACATCTCTGGTGCTTTTTATTCATCAAAATCTTTAAACGTGTATGTCACCTATTTCCCTAACGATTCCAGATTTACAAGGAGAAATTAAAAAAAAAACATTGTTAAATAAAAACCATCAAAAACACTGAGGAAATAAATATGGCTTCAGCCCTGGTTCATCTTTTCTGGGCTATCCTGGGAAGTCAAAATAAAAATTCCCAGGAGGCAAACCACTCCTGGAACACTACCAGGAAAACTCAGGGACATCTGTGCCTTTTTAAATAAATATGCTCCGAGTCTCCTTTTCAACTCTAATGATGGGATAGGATTGTTTCAACTTCAGTGGCAATTGATTTCATGACTAGATAGTTCCTAAAAAACTAAGCTGGGTTGGAAATGGTTAATCCTTGGATTAGAACCCTCAAGAAAACCTAGGGAAATTGAAAAACAAAACATTCTGAAAAATGCAAAGGCAAGCCACATCTATAACACTATAGTACCAAGAAAACTGCATGGGTATGTCCATAAAATCCCAAAGCATCAAGTCCAACTTGAAGGAGACTTTACATCAGGGGTCTTCAAACTTGGCAACTTTAAGACTTGTGGAGTTCAACTCCCAGGGCTGGCTGAGGAATTCTGGGAGTTGAAGTCCACAAGTCTTAGTTTGAAGACCCCACTTTACATATTTAGGGCTTCCACCTCAGGAATCACATCACAGGTCTTTTAAAGGATTTTCAGTGCTAAACATTACTCCATATCAAATAAGTTGATTACCACAATTCATTCTGGGGTCACAAGGATTTCTTAAATTGGCTTCTATCCTACCCAACAGGAAGAAATCCCATGTGTTTCATTTCAGTGTGGTTAGACATATATTTCCAGTGGTGTGCTAAATCTACTCGTGCAGAGTTCTTGGTATATGATCAGCTTCTATGCGACTATGTTAATATTTTGCATGGGGCAGCCAGAAGACAGTACGTGATTTTTTTTTTTACATATGCTGTTGGAATTTTCCCATCCACAAATTTCAATGGAATTTCAACAAAACCAATTTGCTCTTATAGCACAGTTTCCATTACTCCCCAAAACATTTTGGTTCCTTCTAGACATGTCAGACAAAAATTTTGATCACTAACCACCCTGGCTCAAATTTACAGGAAAAGGAATCCAACACTTATTAAAATCTTATTATTGTTTCTATTTTGCCCCTTCCAAAATCTTCGTTATGAGGTTTTCTCCGCCTTGCCACAGCACTTTGGGCCATGGTTATTTTCAACAGAGGGATAGAATCAAGATCACGTGAAGTATTAATACCACTTTACAATGCCTTGGTAAGGCCACACTTGGAATACTGCATCCAGTTTTGATCACCACGATGTAAAAAAGATGTTGAGACTCTAGAAAGAGTACAGAGAAGAGCAACAAAGATGATTAGGGGACTGGAGGGTAAAGCATATAAGGAATGGTTGATGGAATTGGGTATGTCTAGTTTAATGAAGAGAAGGACGAGGGGGGACATGATAGCAGTGTTCCAATATCTCAGGAGCTGCCACAAAGAAGAGGGAGTCAAGCTATTCTCCAAAGCGCCTGAAGGCAGGACAAGAAGCAACGGATGGAAACTAATCAAGGAGAGAAGCAACCTAGAACTAAAGAGAAATTTCCTGACAGAACAATTAACCTGTGGAATAACCTGCCTCCAGAAGTGGTGAATGCTCCAACACTGGAAGTTTTTAAGAAGAGACTGGACAGCCATTTGTCCGAAATGGTATAGAGTTTCCTGCCTGAGCAGAGGGTTTGACTAGATGACCTCCAAGGTCCCTTCCAACTTTTATTATTATTATTATTATTATTATTATTATTATTATTATTATTATTATTATTATTATTATTATTACTACTACTACTACTACTACTACTACTACTACTACTACTATTATTATTACTATTATTATTATTATTATAACAGAATAATAACAGTTGTATTTTCTCAAACCTTTATTTAGAGTGACTTCCATGACGATTCTGTCCTTTGGTCCAGGTCCTTTACGACTAGAAGAGGAAGTATCTCCATCTTCTCCACTGGGAAATGAGGCTACTCCACTGGCACTGGAGCTGGGAGAACTGGACCGGCTGAGTAAGGTGGGAGTTGGGCAGGGTGTAAGGCTTGGGCTGCGAAGTCTGGTTCGTACTGTGAGAGTCACCACACCTTTCTTGAGTTGCTAAAGAAGCAACAGGGTTGTTAGGTGTATAGTATCACCACTTTTCCTTTGTCTCAAAAACTAAAACATGAATTACACATCTAGAACTTGGAACATGTCTGGAATCATTAAGTGGAACATCTGCTCTTGAATAAAAAAGTAAATAATAAAATAAAATAAAATAAAACTATGTTGGGAATTGATCACTGTACAGTGGATCATTCTGTACAATTTGATCTAGAAGTTCTTTTTTTTTTAATTTATTTTTTATTTTTCCAAACTCTCCCCCATACATAGACCGTGATATTTATCAGATATTAACATACATTCTTTTTACATTCTTATATATAAGATACTTTTAATGAAATAAATACATACACATGACTTTTGGTGTTGCTCGCCCATTTCCCCTTTCACTGCATCCCCACACCTCCTTCTCTACCTTCTTTCTCCCTTCCTTCTCTTTCTTCCCTACTTCCCTCTTCTTCCTCTCCTCTCCTCTTCTCTTTCACCACTCTCTCCTCCAACCTTCCTACTTCCTTCTCCCCTCCTTTACTCTTTTCTCTCTCCTCTCCTTTCTCCCTTCCTTCTCTTTCTTCCCTACTTCCCTCTTCTTCCTCTCCTCTCCT